CCCCCCCCTCCCACCACCTCCTTGCACGGTGCTCACCCCCCCTCTCCCCTTCTTTCCCCCCCGACACACACAGTCCTCGGTGAAGCTGAAGCTGATCTGCGCCCAGGTGCTGCGGGACCTGCTGGGGGAGGCCATGGGTCTGCAGGGCTCTGCAGGGAAATTGGGGTCCTGGCATCGAGCAGGGGGTGCTCAGTGTCCCCAGCCCTGCTGTGCCTGGCAGGGATCCTCACTCACCCACCTGCAGCAGCTCCACCTCGTAGGGCTCCGGTGGAGAAAAGGGTCGGAAAACAGTATTCCTACCTGATAGGAACTGCGGAGGAAATGAAGTTAACTGAAGGACATACTAAATTTTCCAAATTACAGATGCCTCTACTTGCAGATCCATTAGCCTTACAACAACCTTTAAAGTCCTCACCAATTTTGAAGGCACCGCCCCTCATGAGGGAGGTAGACTTCTACGTAGCCTCCTGAGCTGTGTGGGCCAGTGCCACACCATGGCTCTGCCAGTGGGAAACCCTGAACTGAGGAGAGAACAGATCTCCAGCCTGAGGAACTCAAGATTGGCAATTAGTACTGGCTGTAGCCAGAAAACCAGCGTTCAGGATGGGATGGGTGAAGCTCACGCCAAGTACGAGAAAAACCAGCCACAAAGCGCGACCCAGAAGTGGATGAGTTGACTAAAATTCAGGAAATAAAAGTAGGGATCGCCTCAAATCCCGCGTGGTGTCGGTTGCGGAGTGGCTCCATCAAAAATTAGGTCCCATGGGTAAAGAAACGCTTCGCACAGAGCAAGGGTTGGTCCTGAACAGGAGAACTTGTGAAGTTATTCTCACAGGACTAGATTGAAATTACAAGCCCATCACCCTGCCCAAGCACCACCTCTGCACATCAACGAAGGAAGGACTTTATGGTCTACGTGGCCCAAACAAGAAAACATCTAAAGGTTTGCTTCCATGTGGAATGTGCCATCTTTGAGCTCAGCCCTGGGGAGAGGGAAAAAAAGGTGGTTTTTAAGGATAGGCCATGGAGGTGAGTGAGAACCCCCCCCCCCAACCACGTCAGTGCCTTAAAAACCTGCCTAATTAGTAATATTACAGAGTTTCATAGCCTTAACACAAGCCTTAGTACTCCCAGTGCTACCGGCAGGTCGGCCCTGGGGAGAGGGAAAAAAAGGTGGTTTTTAAGGATGAGGTTGCCAGGAAAGCCTGGAGACCAAGGTTTGTGGGGTGATAAAAGTGGTTCCCAGAGGGAGGAGGAAGAGGGAACAGTTCTCCCTGCTGGCATCTCGGGTGTTGGAGCAATCTCTGGACATCTCCTACTTTTGAGCCTGGCCATAGAGAGCCAAAAAAGGTGTTTTTGAGGATGAGGTTGCCACAAAAGCCCGGAGCCCCAAGGTTTTTGGGGTGCAGTGAGTACTGATGAGGTCACCAGGAAAGCCTGGAGACCAAGGTTTGTGGGGCGATAAAAGCGGTTCCCAGAGGGAGGAGGAAGAGGGAACAGTTCTCCCTGCTGGCACCTTGGGTGTTGGAGAAATCTCTGGACATCTCCTACTTTTGAGCCTGGCCATAGAGAGCCAAAAAAGGTGGTTTTGAGGATGAGGTCGCCACGAAAGCCCGAAGCCCCAAGGTTTGTGGGGTGCAGTGAGTACCGTAGGGCTGGAGAAAACAAGGTTGGGCAGGGGCTTGAGCTGAGCCAGTGGAGAACTGGGTCTAAAATAAAAGACACCAGAGATGGGGCTAGAATATATTTCAGGGTGGGCAGGGAGCTGAAATAAAGACCCCTGTGGCTGAAATGGCGGGGCTGGAGAAGAAATGACCCGGGGTTGAATGGAAAATAAAGATAACGGAGCTGGGGCTGAA